TCTATTCTATTCTATTCTATTCTATTCTATTCTATTCTATTCTATTCCATTCCATTCCATTCCATTCCATTCCATTCTCTACTCTACTCTACTCTACTCTACTCTACTCTACTCTACCCTACCCTACCCTACCCTACCCTACCCTATCAACTTTCTTCCTTGCCACCACTAATTTTTTTCCTAACTGAGATTATGGAGTTCAGCTTCACCACAAACACTCCAAATCTCAGGTGAATTTCTTTCCTTCTTACCTCTTCTTTAGGCTGATCGAGGCAGCGATTCGTCTCCTCCAAGATGAAAACCAACAGGTGCGCCATGGGGCTGCTTCCTTCGTCAGCCGTTTGGTGCAGTCACCATGGCCCGCCCAGCAGGTTCAACCTCACAACAGTTGCCTGCAGCTCCAGAGCTCCAAGGCTCTGCTCAGCCTACTAGAGTTCCTGCTCGAAAACTTTGGGGACCATCCTTCGACTTTTGCATCCTTGATGCACCTTCTCCCCATGGTAGAACTCCGTGAAACCTTGATGGAGCTGGAAAGCCAGGGGTAAGCAAAGAAAGGAATGAAGGCAACCAAAGCAGGGTGTTGTGGTTAGCCGGCAGCAGGTGCGGACGGCTGAGGAGAGCAAGGACTCAGATGAGGAGCCAGGACCATTAGGGAATAGATTGCTGCCTTCAGAGATTGTGGGGGCTGGCAGCAGTGATGAGGAGGTTCCCGAGGAGCCTGTGCCAAGTGCGCGTAGGATTGCTCGTAGGGAAGAGCAGCTACAACAGCACGGGCGACTTGGGACTAAGGCTGCAAGGTAATGGCCCCTCCTTCAAGAGGATAAAAGCCAGCTGTGAAACGAACGTTCTTTGCAGAAGGCAAAGACGTTTTGAAACTCCAGCCTCGTGGACATTCCAGTATCCTGAGTTTGTATTTGAAGATTCTTATTTTGCAAATTATTTCTTGTCTGTTATCTTTTGGCAAGTCTCGCACAGTTTGGCAAGGCTTGTGCTTATCACAGCTAATTATTTTGCAGAAGCATTAAAAGGTTTCTGTTCCCTTTGGATTGTGTTTGATTCGTTGGAAAAGGGCGTGGGTCAGAACATAGGGGCTCTTTTTTGACCAAGTGTGATGCCAGCCAAAGAGGTACTTCCCCAACTCGTTAGGAGCACTGGGATCTGCTAGACGCAACAACCTAGCAATGATAGGTTGTTGGGTCAAGCTAGTTGAGTCATTGAATCTTGACTGATCCCTCTTCCTCAGGTTTGAAGCAGATCAAACTTCAGCTCAAACCATCACAATGCTTTAATTGGGAAGTCCTAATTAGAGAACTGGCAATCAAGCTTTCCTCCAATCTCAATGTCCCTTGAGATCATGTGAGATGATCAAACTCGGGTTTTCTGAGGAATTATGGGAATTGGAGTCCAACGGGCTCCAAGATGGGAGATGTTACTGCAGATGAATTAATTTATCATGAGGGGCATTCAACCTCTTTCTCTCTGGCTTTGTTTGCCCAACATACCTCCTTACTAACCCATATGAGCCGAATTCACACAACACGTTAAGCTAAACTGCGATTTGGTTAACTGTTTATGGTTCAGATGTTACGTGAATGTCATTTTTCTCTTTTTCAGAGTGGTCAGTCTCTACAAAGAGGACGAACCCAACGTCTACACCGAGCCAGCAGTCTTCTCCCAGGTGTTATTACCCTTTCTACTCCAACTGGTCGAGAATGCGTCCATTTCTCAAAAACTTTGCGAGTCGATACAATCTTGGCTAGAAACCACTGGAGCTGGAATCGTCTCCACCATACAATTCTGTAAACAGTGGTGGAGTCAAGGTGAGTTGGACAAGGGTTCAAGACCGAGGTGTTTTCAACAGTTTTAAGAACCACAGTCCCAAAGTGAGTTAAAAAAAAAAGGGAGGGGCAATTTGGAAGGGATATGAAGGGGTGAAATCAAGAGAGGCAATTCGGTCTATGGTTAAGGTAAAGGTTCCCCTCGCACATACATGCTAGTCGTTTCTGGTTCTAGTGGGTGGTGCTCATCTCTGTGACAAAGTCGAAGAGCCAGCGCTGTCCAAAGACGTCTCCGTGGTCATGTGGCCAGCAGGACTAAACGCCAAAGGTGCACGGAGCACTGTTCCCTTCCCACGAAAGTAATCCCTGTTTTTTACTTGCATTTTTTTACATGCTTTCGAACGGCTAGGTTGGCAGAAGCTGGGACAAGGAACAGGAGCTCACTCTGTTATGCGGTGCTAGGGATTCGAACCGCTGACCTTTCTGATTGACAAGCTCAGCATCTTGGCCACTGAGCCACTGCGTCCCTTATGGTTAAGGTACCAGGCCAGAAACCAGGAGACAGTGAGTTCTAGTTCCGCCTTAGGCATGAAAGCTGACTGGGTGATTTCAGGCCAGTCACCAGGAGACGGTGAGTTCTAGTCCCACCTTAGGCATGAAAGCTGACTGGGTGATTTCAGGCCAGTCACCAGGAGACAGTGAGTTCTAGTCCCACCTTAGGCAGAAAAGCTGGCTGGGTGACTTCAGGCCAATCACCAGGCGACGGTGAGTTCTAGTCCCACCTTAGGCAGAAAAGCTGGCTGGGTGACTTCAGGCCAATCACCAGGAGATGGTGAGTTCTAGTTCCACCTTAGACACGAAAGCTGGCTTGAGGACTTTAGGCCTGTCCCTCTCTTTCACCTCACAGGACTGTCGTTGTGGGGAAAACAAGACAAAGTTGTTGGTCACATTCACCACCTTATTTGTAAAAATAATGAAGGCATAACTAAAACTTTTTAGAAAAAGGCTGTCCTGCTTACCAGACCAAGGTTCAGTGTGTCGGGCAAACACAGCCAGGGGCCTTGAACTGACCCAGTTATACACAGTGTGCAAACACCATCTCCATATGGTGGCCTCTCGGTTCGCCTAAGCTTGAATTTCTGGATTACTGGCTTGCTCAGTCTTAAACCAGAGACAAATTCCTTGCGTGTGTCCAATTACACTTGGCCAATAAAGAATTCTGTTCTATTTGTGTGTTTCAGAGGACATCCCTTGCCTGCATCTCAAGGCTTTGTCCTGTCCTGACGTACATTCTGCGATTGCGGCGCTGTTGGTGAAAGCTATCCTTGTGGCCCACGTTCTGAAGATCTTGGAAACCCAGAACCAGCCCAACTGCACCCCAGGAATTAGTGTCTCCTCCCAGGAGCTCAGCTGCACCATTCATTCCTTAAAGGACCTGCTCCGTCGGCGTGGAATAGCTATTATGGTTAAGATGGAACCAGAGCAAGCAAGACTAGAAGAAAACTAGTTAAGCACCAAGGAATTTTAATAAAACTTTGGTTTTTGTTTTAAAAACAACCACAATGGGTAGATCCCAAAACCAATCCATTCCTTACAGGAATGACAAAATAACTAAGAGTTGGAAAGGATCTTGTAAGTCTTCTAATCCAACCTCCCGCTCATGCAGAAAACCTATACCACACCTATGATGGTGCAGTGGTTAGCTGGCAGTATTGCAGGCTACTTCTGCTTACTGTCAACTGCCAGCAGTTCAATCCTGGCCAGCTCAAGGTTGATTCAGCCTTCCATCCTTCTGAGGTGGGGAAAATGAGGACCCAGATTGTTGGGGGGCAAGAGGCTGACTCTGTAAACCGCTTAGAGAGATCTGGAAAGCACTGTGAATTAGTGTATAAGTTTAAGTGCTACTGTCCTTCCTTCCTTCCTTCCTTCCTTCCTTCCTTCCTTCCTTCCTATACAGTGGTTCGAATGCAGCATTGCAACCTAACTCTGCCCACAGCCAGTAGTTCGATCCTTACCGGTTCAAGGTTGACTCAGCCTTCCATCCTTCTGAGGTGGGTGAAATGAGGACCCAGATTGTTGGGGGTGATAGGTTGACTCTGTAAACCGCTTCGAGAGGGCTGTAAAGCACTGTGAAGCGGTGTATAGGTCATTTAAAACATTTAATTTAAATTAAACCTTCCATCTAAGAAACAATGGATCCTGTCAAAATACAAGCAACAATCCTCCTATACCTTGGCAACCTAGAATCATTGGGTTGGAAGGGACCTTGGAGGTCTTCTAGTCCAACCCCCTCTCAAGGCAGGAGACTTTATGCTACCCTGGTCAAACGGTTGTCCAGGCTTTTTTTGAAACCTCCAGTGATGGAGCACCCTCTGCACTAACTTTCTCACACAGGTCTTGTCCAAGTGCCATTGCTATTCCTGACAGTACAACTTTTAAGGACCATTCAAAATCAGGACAGCCCTGGAAAAGTGACTTGCGGCCGGTCCTTGCAGTTCGATCCAGTTCGGCCATGTCTCTGCGGTCACATGAATTAATATTTGAATGCTCAGCAACCCGCATGTATTTACAATGGACGCAGCATCTTGGGGGTCACAGGACTGCCATCTGCAACTTTCCCAGGGGGTTCCAAGAAGCAAAGTTAATAATTTGCTTAATAACTGTGGCAGGAAATTTTGCAAAATCAGGAATCACTCACTCCCAGGGTGAAAAAAAAAAAGAGTTCTTTGCTAGAAACCATACTGTGAACGAAATAAATAAGAAAAAGTTAGCCTAGGAACAAATGAACATCATTTAAATCCTGCTGGGGAGTCAAACATCGTCTTGATTAGTTTTCTTTTTGCTCTTAGGTCATGCTCTCTTGCTGAGATGAGTGGTTTCAAGGAGATAATAGCTTTGTTTTTAAACTAATTCTAAATTCATTCACCCCTAACTCTTCTCTCCTGTAGGCTGGCCATACTCAGTTCCTGCAACCGTTTTTGTCTTCGGGCTTTTAATCATCGTGGTTGCTCATCTTTGCACTTTTTCCTCTATAAATAGTCCTTGATTTAACAACCACAATTGACTTAGCCTTCCATCCTTCCGAGGTTGGTAAAACGAGGACCCAGATGGTTGGGGGCAATAGGTTGACTCTGTAAACGCTTAGAGAGGGCTCTGAAGCAGTATATAAGTCTAAGTGCTATTCCTTCCTTCCTTCCTTCCCTTCATCCATCCATCCATGGTGCACAGTGATTAGAATGCAGTATTGCAGGCTGCCCACTGCCAGCAGTTCAATCCTGACCGGCTCAAAGTTGACGCAGCCTTCTATCCTATCCCAGCAGTATAAGTGCTGTTGATATTCTGTTCAAATCAACTCAGAATTTAGAACTTAGAATAGCAGAATTGGAAGGGACCTTGGAGATCTTCTAGTCCAACCCCCTGCCTAGGCAGGAAACCCTACACCACTTCAGACAAATGGTTATCCACTCTCTTCTTAAAAACTTCCAGCATTGGAGCATTTATAGCTTCTGGGGGCAAGTTGTTCCACTGATTAATTGTTCTGTCAGAAAATTTCTCCTTAGTTCCAGGTTGCGTCTCTCCTTGATTAGTTTCCACCCATTGCTTCTTGTCTTGCCTTCAGGTGCTTTGGAGAATAGCTTGACTCCCTCTTCTTTGGGGCAGCCTCTCAAATATTGGAAGACTGCTGTCATGTCACCCCTAGTCCTTCTTTTCATTAGACTAGACATACCCAATCCCAGCACCTGTTCTTTATATGTTTTAACCTCCAGTTTCCTAATTATCTTCGTTGCTCAGCCTTGTTACTTGGCATTCATTTAAATGAAACCAGGAGACAAGTGATTTAATAAGCAGGCAACATTGGTTTTATTGTCAGCATCCGTGCCGGAGAGCTGAGGAATTCCAAAACCAGACTAGTCTTAGGCTGCCAGGGCATAACAGCGAGACATTTAAAACATTTAATTTAAATCTTCCATCTAAGAAACAACAGATCCTGTAAAAATACAAGCAACAATCCCTCCACACCCTGGCCACCTCTGCAATTCACTTTATCTCACAGGTCTTGGGTGTCCATCCTTGGCAATTTTGTTGACTTCAACTCCCAGAAATCCCCAGCCAGCATGGGGGATGAGGTCCACAGCTTTTAGTGGTTCAAAGGTGGACCCCCCTGATATAGATAGTAGAAGGAGGAATCTCGATAATTCATTTATATTGACATTCAGAAAAGAGAACGTAAGATTGGTATCATCTCCATTTGGACCACGAGTTCTCCCCATTACTGCTACCTCGGAGTTTCTCTGGACCAAAATTCTTCTGGACCAGCTGATGCCCAAACAGCAGCAGCCAACAAGGTGGGCCTTGACTTGTGTCCATGCGCTAATCCAGAGCACGAAGCACAGGTTGCATTTAGCTAACCTGCAACAGGCAGGTTAAAGTTGGAAAGCAAGCGAGAACATGCAGGGGAGGAGAAGGCCATCCCCAAGAATGAAAGAGATACAAGATGCAAAACCTTTGGCACGGATTAGTGGAAATGACCCAACTTGGCACCTGGGCAGAAGAGACAAAGGGGCTGCCTCCCCCCTTCTTAATACAGTACAAGAATCGGTCCATCAGGGTCGCCTTTTGTCAGTTTCTGGTCCAAGAACATCTGCTTCTCAAACTAAGGCAGTGTCTAAGGCAAGGGTCTTCCAACTTGGCAAGTGGAAGACTCGTGGACTTCAACTCCCAGAACTCCTGAGCTAACATGACTGGAGGAGGAATTCTGGGAGCTGAAGTCCACAAGTCTTAAAGCTGTCAAGTTTGAAGACCCGTTTAGACTTCTGACAACAGCCAACCAAACATGGCACCATTAAGACTTGTGGACTTCAGCTCCCAGAATTCCTGAGCTAACATGACTGGAGGAGGAATTCTGGGAGTTGGAAGTCCCCAAGTCTTAAAGCTGCCATGTTTGAAGACCCTTGGTCTAAGGACAACAAAGACCCTTTGAAAAGGAGGCATGGGGAGGTCTTCCCTCCACCAGATGTCCCAAGGAGCATGGTCTGAAAGAACGGTGTCAACTTTCACCTTACAATGTAAAGAACCGCAGCGCCATCAAGTCTACGGAATGAGTCAACGGGCACAGTAAGGCAGGTTCTGTCCAACCAATGTGAACATCCCTATAGGTTCCAGACAGAGACCGAGGGAAAAAGAAAGTCCCCAATAGGTATAGATATATATTATAAAAAGATACATTCATCTGAACATAAAATCCAAAGTGAAAAACCCAAAGCTCGGGTAAGAAGGCTGCCATTTCCAGAGGAGCTGATCCTACTTGCCAAGGCTTAGCATCTCCATTGTAGATCAGTGGTCACTACTACTTCTCTAGGGAGAAGACACATGCAAGTCCTTCCTGGTTTCCCTGCATTAGGGTTATGTGAACGTGCCTAGGGAGAAGACCTACATCAGGGAATCTTCATACTTGACAGCTTTAAGGCTTGTGGATGTCAACTCCCAGAATTCCTCCTCCAGCCTCCATGTTAGCTCAGGAATTCTGGGAGTTGAAGTCCACAAGTCTTAAACTTGCCAAATTGGAAGACCCTTGACCTACACGGAGAATCTTTTTCCTGCTCTGGGGAGACCTGTCTATGCCAGAAGCCTAGGATGTCCCAGGAGCTCAGAGGGGTAGACTTGACCATGAAGAACTGGAAGTTGGCAAAAAGAAAACCATGGAAGGGATGACTTTTGGAATGTATTCAGTGTTTTGGTTGCTACTTCTTGAAGTTCCGGAAGTGAATGAATACCAGTTTTCCACCAGAGTAGCGGGTTGCAAAGAAAGATATGGATTATACCTCCTTTGGGTGGAGGTATTTTGAATGGAGACTTCTGTCAAGTCTCAGTACATGTCGTCCCTAACCTAATGCTCTGAAAGAATGTTGGACCACAAAACCCAGGAATCTTAAACAGATCCAGCCATTGGTTCTACGGACCTGGTAAGCAGCAGGTTGGGAAAAATCCTTCAGATCCCCTTTATGCGTCACCTCAAAACACAGCTTGAAATCCCTTTTCTATGGAAGATCTCCTTATGTTCCACCTTTATCTTTCCAAAGTGCTCTTTGGTGGAAAAGCATCAAAATAAAAATGGCACTAGAAAAACGAATTGGCACCTACAAACACACACACAGCCACACACAGAGATATACATCCCATCCCAGCTATCTGCACCATCCTCAATTGTTTTGTTTTGGGTTTTTTTTTGGGGGGGGGGGGGAAAGGAAGGGTGTGTCTCGAACTGAACAAGTGAGAAAGCCAATCAGAATGTGTATTTTCAAGAGCACCAAAGAAAACCACTCTTAACCCCACCACCCACTGGTTGTTCGCTGACCCTCCCCCAGAAGAAAACTATTTGAGGGTGACCTGTGAATTTATGTCCGTGACTCCTTCGTGGTGACCCCACCAGTTGTTTCGCGCCATTGACCATGACAGTGAAGCCTAGAGAAAGATTCCGTCTGCAGTGGCGTTCCGATAAATACGTCTCGTAAAAGGTGGCAAAGTGATTTGGGGACTGGCATCGTGTCCTCCAGCCAAGAGAAGAGAAAGAATGAAGAAGCACACACCGCCCTTCCAAATGTCTTCTGCAGTTGGTCACCCCTTTTGTCCCAGCTGTTGCCTGATGGGGTGGGGGAGGATGACCCCCCACCTCGGCTCACGTCTGTGAGCGTCCCTCAGTCCGTTTTCCACACTTTGTTGAGTGCCTTGACCACTTCATCGTAGATGATGAACACAATGGCTACGTCCAAGCAGACCCTTCCCAGGCGTGGAATGGTCCCCTTGTAAAACCTAGATAGGAAGAGGAAGCGGAGGAAGAGAAATTCATTTATATCGACATTCAGAAAGGAGAAAGTAAGATTAGTATCATCTCCATCTGGACCACCAGTTCTCCCTTACGGCTCACCTCTGAGTTTCTCCGGACCAAAATTCTTCTGGACCAGCCGATGCCCAACCACGAACCTGTTCTGCCCTAGGCTTTCCCCAAAAAGCACTACGCAAACTCTGTGTCCCGGCAAAACCTCTTTTATGAAAGGAATGTGAGTTTATTGCATTCACATTCAGCCAACGGCCTGGCAAACAGTCATGCAAAGGTGTAAGTATTAGCTCACACCTTATCTATCTTAGAAAACGGCCTGGTAAATATTTCCACACACAGAGCTGACACGGAAGGGCTCTAGGTTACACAGACAAATCTTCACAAGGCTGGAACGAACAAATAAATTGTTTCTTGCAAAAGCCCCCTCCCCTTTCGCTCCTCTTTTAACCCTTATGGGAGGGGCCATTCACCGTCCACCTGAGCCTTTGCTTCCAAGTCGACCCTTGTTCCTTAGCTGTTCCCTTCTTCTGGCAGCTCTGCGCATGCGCACACTAGGAACAGGCTCCAGCTTTTCTTCTGCCCCACTGATCTCTGATTTCGAAGGCAGCTGATGACTGCCAGCCTGCCCTGGCCCCATCTCTGCCCATGATGCAGAGCCCTAGTCTGAGCCTTCCTCAGTCTCTAGGACTGGCCTAGATTCCTCTCCTCTGTCCAACTCTGCAGCCAGCTCTGTCAGCTGCCGGCGGGCCACAACAGAACCCAAGAAGAGTCAGGTGGTTTGTGGGTTGCTCACCTCTGGGGAGATAAGCCTCCCCGTGAACTGTGAGACCCACCACCCTGGTTATCTTTCAAAGCCATGCCAAACTCACGCGAGAGGTCCTTCATATTTCATGATTTGGTAGGCGCAGTTGAAGGTGCTCTTGTACTTGTGCGCTTCAAGGCCCTACGAAGAGAAAGACGGGAGAAGAAAGGGGAGGTTGGATTAGCAATAGCGAGAAGACGTTGGGCACCGCACAACTCAACAGCTTGCCTCGCTTGCGGGTCAAACTGGGCTCACTCATTTCACTTCTGCTTCTGGTCTAAATGGAATGAGAAACACAACTGAACGTTCCCTCTGTTTGCTGACAGTCCTCCCAGGTAGAACAGACAAGAAAAGCGGCTAGGTGAACTAATTTGACTCTTATTGTAAGACTATACTAGCTCGATACCCATGCTTCGCTATGAAACGATGTGGTCAGACAAATTTTTGGGGAGGGAAATAAGGAAAAAAAATTCTGCCTACCAGCATTCATCGGTATTCACCTGGCTAGCGTTTTTGTCGGGGTGTGAGAGAGTTGAGGGCTGTTTGGAAACTGAAACAGTATTTGCTGTGTGAGCAAGGAGACAGCAAGGAGCCTGGGCATGGCTTAGCTCAACTGTTCTGTACTAAAGCTGCTTGGTGCTGCTGTGAAACTGAAACTCCTCTCCTCTGCTTGTGTTTTGCATTTAGAACAGATTTCTTTTCAGGTGGGGAGGGGGAGTAGAACTCCGTAGCATCAGAGCATGTTAAAAAGAGTAATATACAAAATGGTAATGCTCCGATGGTCATTTCAAAAAAATCCTTTCTTAGTGAGCACCTAGAAGCCAAGAGAAACATAGGGGCCAAATATCAAGTTTGTAGACTTTAGGGTTCTGGAGATTTTGTGATGATGCATGAGTGGTATTTCGCTTTTATATAGATAGAAGACTAACAGAATCTTGCAAGTCTGAAAGTACAAATCTCCCACTGTCTCCTTTTTACAGCCTGAGAAGAATCAGAATAGAGCTGGAAGGGACCTTGGAGGTCTTCTAGTCCAGCCCCCTGCTCAAGCAGGAGATTCTAGGAAACTAGGGAGAAACTAGGAAGGGTCAGAAGGGGACCCTTCCTAGTTTACTCTACTCATTACACAGGAAGTAACAAGAAATTTCCAGACAGGGAGAACAATTCAATGGAACTGCTTGCCTAGGGTGGTTGTGGGTACTCCATCGATGGAAGTCTTCAAGGAAACATTGGACAACCATTTTTGTCCAAAAGGCAACAAGCTTTCCTGCCTTGAGCAAAGGGTTTGGCTGTCAGGGTTCCAACCGACGCCCTAATTAATTCATGACCCTCGAGCCAAGTTTCAAAAGAAATCCAATTATTTATTAGGAGCAACATGTCGGAGGTTTTCCCAAGTGCAGTCCAGGCTCTGCTCCCACGTAATTTACTGCCCACCTATGACCCTGTTTCCCCCTCCTCCTCCTCCTCCTCCCAGGGTGTGTCATAAATCACATTCTCCAATGGAGCACTTTCACCGGGCTGTAGAAAACACGCCTCTCTGGCTGGCTCTCGTAACCCTACGGCAACTCGAGAGCAGGCCAGGAATGCTTTACGAGTTGACATGGACTCCGAGGTCGCTTCCAGCCCTAGGATTCTATGTTTTCTATGTTCAAAGTCTCTACAGGGGAACAAAAACAAGAATTCCTGCGAAGGTTCTCTAATTCACACCCTCCCAACTAGGCAAAAGGGCTCACGGGTTTCCTGAAAAACAGCTCAGCTAATCAAGAGATGTTTGGAGTTTGACCTCTTCCTGGTTGTTGGATCTAAGGAAAGAGGTCAAAGACCAACCCTCTGCATTCTTCTCGCGGATGCTGAAAAATAAAATCACTTGTCTCCTGGTTTCATTTAAATGAATGCCAAGTAACAAGGCTGAGCAACGAAGATAATTAGGGACTGGAGGCTAAAACATATGAAGAACGGTCGCTGGAATTGGGTATGTCTAGTCTGATGAGAAGAAGGACTAGCGGGGACATGATAGCAGTCTTCCAATATTTGAGGGGCTGCCCCAAAGAAGAGGGAGTCAAGCTATTCTCCAAAGCACCTGAAGGAAGGACAAGAAGCAACGGATGGAAACTAACCAAGGAGAGAAGCAACTTAGAACTAAGGAGAAATTTTCTGATTGTGAGAACAATTCATCAGTGGGACAACTTGCCCCCAGAAGCTATAAATGCTCCAATGCTGGAAGTTTTTAAGAAGAGAGTGGATAACCATTTGTCTGAAGTGGTGTAGGGTTTCCTGCCTAGGCAGGGGGTTGGACTAGAAGACCTCCAAGGTCCCTTCCAACTCTGCTATTCTAAGTTCTTCTGATCCCTGCACAGGAGGCTCAGTCCTAACACTCATGCGATGGGCTACCAAGATTTGGGGATCCATAGCGAAGAGTTGCTAAAAAAACAACCCAGCCCACCTGCATTCTCGTCTTCACGACATCTAGCGGGGTGTTACCGAAGACGCTGGCAGCCCCAGCGAGCGCACCGAAGACTCCCGTCACCAGTGGGTTAATCTGTTTGTCGGGATCGTCCCCTGAAAGGACACAAACATGGATAAGAAAGAAGAAAGGAAAAGAGGAGAGAGGTTATTCCTTCCGTACAAAATCTGGCTTCTTTCATTCCATTGTATTTTGCGCCGATTTTAAGATTGTGCGAACTTCCCAAATAGAACAGAGAAGAAACACAACCCAACGAGCTACCTGCGCAGGAAGTCCTCCATTTGCAACAGTTCATTTAATGCGCTGTTGAAAGAGTGATGTGGGGGCCTAGGGGTGGAGCTCTCGCCTCACCGTCAGGAGGCTGTGAGTTCGATTCTAGGGAGAGGCAGATATGAGAATATATCTGCCAAACTCCGCATTGGTGACAGGAAGGGCATCTGGCCAGTAAACACTCAGCTCCATTCAGTTACCTAGACTCCACTCCGCAAGGGATGAGGGGGGGGTCTTAAAAAGAAGATGCTGATTTCATGACCGTTCAAAATGATAACAGATTACAGGGGGGAAAAGCTGCTTGTTGACGAGGAATATCAGCAAAAGGAACATCCAACGTCTTGTTTGGGTGTATTGTAATCATTGCTTGGTCCCCGAAAACGTTTCCCAAAGTTAAAATTGTACATTATTCAGGACATAAGAGGGAAAATTGGAAGAATATCAGAGGAAAAGGGACCAGGAATTGGTTTTTACAAAGAGGGGACGTAATTTACCTTTGTACCAGTTCCTAAGAGCCGTCATGACAAAGAAACGGATGGCTTGGTTAGATCCTTGTTTGAGGACCGTGGCGGTTAAACCTTGGTAGGTTCCTTTCAACCCTACAAGACAAGAAGATGGGGGAAGGCGAAGGCAGAAGAGTTAAGAGGGAAAGTCCAGCATTGTAAAATGAAATATTTCCTGGCCAAAAAAATACAAACACACTTCAGTTTCGTTTCTGGCTAAGTTGAGACCAGAAATATCAACCCCTCCTAATGGTAATCAAAGAAAAGGAACATTATTTACACCAGCTTTGCCAAACTGGACATTTTTTTCCAAACTGGCCACACTACAGCTCGTAACAACTCCTAATAGCATCACAAATAATCTCAAAAGAAGCAGAATCTCTATGGAAATTCTCAGTTATCCAGATCATACTTATCCCAAAGGTGGACTTTCTGGTTTTCTCTGAAGACATTTCTCTTCTCATCCAAGAAGCTTCTTCAGCTCTGACTGAATTGGTGGGGAATGGAAGGATTTATACTTCTTGCAGACAACTGGTCATTTGCATTCTTTTTAGAGAGTCGTTGAGGCCACTTGGAGGTTTATCTATGTCCTCAGTTGTCCCAAAGGTGCTTTTTTCAAGAAGCAACTGGACTTTCTGATTTTTCTTTGAAGACGTTTTGCTTCTCATCCAAGGAGCTTCTTCAGCTCGGACTGGATGAGGGGGAATGGAAGGATTTATACCCCTTGCATTCAACTGGTCATTTGCATCCTTCTAGAGTCCATTGAGGCTCCGTAAAATGGAGCAAAGCTCACTTAACGACTGTCTTCCTTAGCAATGGAAATTTGTGATGGTAAATCAGGGGCTACCTATGCTTTCTATATTATATTCAGCTTCTTTGGAATAAGACAAGGCCATCCACTTTCACTTATATTTAAACCCAGTTAATTTCCAATTAGGGACGCGGTGGCTCTGTGGCTAAGACGCTGAGCTTGTCGATCAGAAAGGTCAGCAGTTCGGTGGTTCGAATCCCTAGCACCGCGTAATGGAGTGAGCTCCCGTTCCTTGTCCCAGCTTCTGCCAACCCAGTAGTTCGAAAGCACGTAAAAATGCAGGTAGGAAAATTAGGGACAATTTTGATGGGAAGATAAGAGCATTCCGTGCGCCTTTGAAGGCGTTTAGTCATGCCGGCCACATGACCACGGAGACGTCTTCGGACAGCGCTGGCTCTTCGGATTTGTAACGGAGATGAGTACCGCCCTCTAGAGCCGGAAAACGACTTGTACATATTTTAAGTGCGAGGGGAACCTTTACATTTACCTAATTTCCAATTCTGCAGATAGAAGGAGGAGAAAGATATTGTCTCCGCTACAACAATCCCCGTTTCTCACCTTGTTCCCGAACGATCTCCCGTACACCGTGAAAAAACCCCCGGTATTTTGGGTTGGGAGAACATTGGTCATGGATGAACTTCACCTGCAGGAGAAGCAGAGCAGAGGAGACAACAATGCGTTACTCTGGAGAAGGATTGGAGAGGATTCTTGGCACCCCACATTTGCAAATCTGGTTCCTCTCCACAACACGGATTCCACCCACAGGTGCCCTCTTCCTTCTTTCAAGGTTGTTACCTTGACGGTTTCCATGGGGCAGACCACCACTATGGCTTCAGCCACGCCAGCCCCCAAACCGGCAAGAAGGCCACGTGTGCTGTCCAGTTTTCCATCGGCATCTCTCATGTGGTTGCTCAGGAACTCAAACATGCCAAACCTGTGTAGGGAGGAGAAGAGGAGGTCGGTGGGCCCAGGTAGAATGATGAAGGTCCTCCCCCATGTCCTCACATCACAACTAACCCCCCCCTTTCCCCTCTAAGGTCCAGTATGTGTTTACCTCACAGCAGCCTTCGGGATGGAACCATAGACCAGCGAGCTGAGGCCTCGATAAAGGCCTTTGATCCCATGGTCCCTGACTGTCACTCGGACACAGTCCACTGCGCATAAAGAAAAGAAGAGAAAAATACCCAGATTAATAAAAAGCAGCCAGCTACAAACAGAGAAAACAGAAACAAACAGACATGTAAACGTGGAGAACGGGTCAAAGGCACAGAGACAAAATGAAAGGATATCTTATTATTATTTTTTTGCAAGCAATTAAGTTTGACTACGGAAGATTCTCAGTCGTCCAGCTGTCAGGGTTCCAGCAACCCTCCACTCCAACCAATAACTCTGAGATAGACACCTTCTCAAAAGTTATTTCTGTTTTGGATAGCACCACTGGGGAATTCCGAATCCAGGGGTGGTATGCTACCGGTTCTGCCCGGTTCTATAGAACCGGTAGCTCTGAAGAGCAGCTCTGTGTAGACTTTGTACTCTGTTTGACTTTTTACAGTTCATTTGGCAGCCATTCAAAGGAGAGAAAGGTGGGTGCTTATCTCGAGGGACTGTTTTGGGACTCATTACAGGCTGGGAATGAACAAATTCCCAGCACTGAAATAAAACTATGTTTTAACTAAGCATGTGCTTAATTAGGTCTCGGGAAGCCTTGGTCAGAACACATTGTAACTTTGAACAGTCACTAAATGAACTGTTGTAACTCAAGAACTACCTGTAATACAATGATTGGACTGCCTTTAAAAAAAACCTAAATAAATATGTAAAGAATCGTTATTTGGAGAGGGGGCGGCAACACGCCAGCAGATTCAAGTTAGGTGTTTTCTGAATTTTTGACCCAAAGAATTTGACATCCTTGATTTCTGGTTGGTTCCTTGGAAATTGGGGGTGATCAAAATACAATTTGGGGGGATTGATGGAAACTCTCAAGCCGCCCAGTCTTACCAATGCCTTTATAGCGTGGCGGGTTGGCTTTTTCGTCGAGCTGCAACTGGGTTTTCACGTATTCGGTGGGGAAAGTGATGCAGATTTCAATACCTCCGGCGATGCCACCTGGAAAGTTAAGCGAGAGAAGAATGATGCACCTGTGATGACCCGGGGTGTGACACAAAAATAACAAAGTCACAAAAATAGAAAAAAGTCCCTTTAATGCCTCCAACTTGGTCCCAATGTCCAATTGACCTCAGCAGGATATCAAACTCTTAAAGAAAACAGTGTATGGAGGGAGTAAATGCAGTCCGCACCCAAAGTAAAGTTAATTCGAAATAAAAAACCCAACACAACACACCGAAGGAATTACTACAGCAGGCAAGGATGATTAATTGCAGACTTCTGCCAGATAATGCAGCAATCACAGTTGAGAGGAAGCCAAAACATAGATAAGCTCCGACAAGAATCCATGCTTTGCTTCCAGTACCTTTGTCATGCACAGTTTGTCCTTTTAACCAGTACTCCCAGCTGCAGCCCATGAAGGGGATCAGGGCCCCTTCCTCCCCCGTAGACCACACCACTCACGTTTCTCCCTTATCCGCTCCTCCCTGCGTGCCCTAAGATGAAGAGGGGATGGGCCTGGGTCTTCCTCTGAATGCCCAGCCGGCCTCTGCCCTTCCCCGGTTTCCTCCACAACCACCGGAGCCACACTCCCACTCCCTGTCAGCTGTTCCACCTCTCCCTCGGAGTCAGACTCCAACAGGGGCATGACAGCATCCATCCGCAGATGCGCAAGAAAGAATAACATCGGACATTAACACGATCGAGCGGGTTCAGAGGTATTCCTCGAGAAAAATACTCCACTTCTCTACTCACCATAGAATTCCCTATGCCTCCCGGCTCGAAATTTTGGGCCTGGACAATCTGGAACTGCGCCGCCTGCGGTCCGAGCTAAGCATAGTACACAAAATTGTCTGCCATAATGTCCTGGCTGTCAACGACTTCTTCAGCCTCAATCACAATAATACACGGACAAACAACCGATACAAACTCCAGGTAAACTGCTCGAAACTCGATTGCAGACTTCAGCCATAGAGTGGTCAACGCCTGAAACGCCCTACCCGACTCCGTGGTCACAGCCTCAAACCCTCACAGCTTCAACCTCAAATGGTCTACCGTGGATCTCACCCCGTGGTGGGATTCATTTTTTTTTAACTACCGGTTCTGTGGGCGTGGCTTAGTGGGAGTGGTGTGGTGTTTCATAGGTGGGCGTGGCAGGGGAAGGATACTGCAAAATCCCCATTCCTTCCCCCACCCCGCTAACCTGCTTTCCAGCTCCGTTCTCCTGTGCAGAGTAACAAAATAAGACCCAGCGGATCAGCTGGGACTCAATGGGAGGCAGAGAACAGATGGGGTTGGCGGGGCCAGTCAAAAGCAGCATTGGCTGGTTCTCCGAAGTACTCAAAATTTCCGCTACCAGTTCTTCCAAACTGGTCAGAACTGGTTGAATACCACATCTGACCTCGTCCCATTCCTAACAGGTCCTTAAAGGGGGTGTGCATAAGCGCACCAGCGTGCCTATCGTCCCTGCCTCACTGTCCCCATTTATTTGCATTTACTCCCTTTGTTCATATTTATATTCATACCTATATTTGTTATCTTGAACATGTTTGACAAACAAATAAATAAAAAGAAAAACATAATACAGGGAGTTCTTGACCTATGACCCCGATCAAGCCCAAAATTTATGTCGTTCCACGAGACATTTCTTAAGTGAGTTTTGTTCCATGTTGCAACCTTTGTCGCCTCAATGGTTAAGTAAATCGCTGCCATGGATAAGTTATGAACACCAGTTATTAAGTGAATCCAGAAGCGGTTTCCATGTAGAAATAAAAGTGATTGTTATTTTCTTTGATCAAACCCGTCACTTTAGCCATCTCTGCTAACTCCATCCATTTTTGCAGCCATTCGTCCATTCTTGGAGCTATAAATGCCTGGTTTGAAGAATTTATTCTCCTTTTAGAAACAAGTTGCTCATTTTTCCCCCAGCTCCTTCTTGAAGGAAATGCACAACTCCAAAGTTTCCAAATTGAACTTGCCTTGCAAGTTAAAACTCTGCCAGGAAACATGTTAAGGCAACTTCACAGGTAGCTTTGCACCAAATCCTTAACTTCTCCATCCAGTACAACCCAAGTCTCAGCTTGTCGGATCAGTACGGGATGTAACGTTTGGCCAAAACCCAAGATCACAGTGAAGATTTACCGTGGATTTAACAGCATCGATGATGCTTTTGCTGCACAGCGGTTCCAACAGTTGATTTAAAACTCAGAAAACCTTTGCATCCAAGATTTAGCTCAACATTTAAACTTCTGTTGCCTAGCAATGCCAGAGGCAGATTCAGACAACCAACTATATTATAAAATCACCACAATATAAAAAAGATGTTATAAAAAAGGCATATGAAGAATGGTTGCAGGAACTGGGCATGGCTAGTCTAGGCAAGAGAAGGACCAGGGGAGACAGGAGAGCAGTCTTCTAATATTTGAGGGGCTGCCACAAAGAAGAGGGGGTCAAGCTATTCTCCAAAGTAACTGAAGGCCAGACAAGGAATAATGGATGGAAACTGACCAAGGAGAGATTCAACCTAGAAATGAGGGGAAACTTTCTGATAGTGAGAACAATCAACCCATGGAACAGAAGTTGCCTTCAGAAGTTGTGGGAGCTTCATCACTGGAGGCTTTCAAGAAGGGACTGGACTGCCATTTGTCAGAAATGGTGTAGGGCCTCCCGCTTGGGCAGGGGGTTGGACTAGATGACCTACAAGGTCCCTTCCAACTCTGATTATCTGTTAACTATATTATCCTTGAAGGTGCAAAGCTTGCAAATTCAGCTTGAAATCACAGATAGTTAAAACTTCTGCAGAGGGAAAGGAACTCATTTGCATTCTTAAACAAAGAAGCAAACTTTCAACCATTCCTGAGCATCAAAAAAGCTATTTTTAAAGTAAAAAAAAAAAAAGAACTTTACCCAATCCCATCAGATGTTTTAACCCACGCCTTTTGCTTCAGACGTTCCCTAAAAATAAGCCAGAATGAATAGTTAGTGGGAGCAACGGCTGTTGCGTGGTGGTTTTCTCCCAGAACTGGAAGATTTCGTGAAAATGGCAAACTTGAATCTGTAGAAAGCAACTGTTCTACGTAGGATCTGTATTACAGCTGTCTTAATGCAGAATATATCCTGGTTCTTACAGAAAATGCCTTGGTGAGGCCACACTTGGAATACTGCATCCAGTTCTGGTCACTATGATGTAAAAAAATATACTGAGACGCCAGAAAGGGTGCGGAGAAGAGCAACAAAAATGATTAGGGGTCTGGAGGCTAAAACATACAATGAACAATGAAGGGAACCAGGTATGTCTAGTCTAATGAAGAGAAGGACTAGGGGGGATAATATGAAGCTGTCTTCTCCACCGAGCTATTCTCCAAAGCACCTGAGGACACGACAAGAAGCAACGGATGGAAACTAACCAAGGAGAGAAGCAACCTGGAACTAACATTCCCGAGAACAATCAACTAGTGGAACAGCTTGCCTCCAGAAGCTCAATTTTAATTAATTTAATTAATTTAAATTTATTTAATTAATTAGTACAATTTTGTGTACTAAGCTGACCGAAATATAGTACACAAAATTACCTGCTACAACGTCCTACCTAGTCAACGACGACTTCAGCTTCAACCACAATAACACACAGGCAAACAATAAATACAAGCTCAAGGTAAACCACTCCAAACTCGATTGCAAAAAATACAACTTCAGCGACAGAGTGGTCAACACCTGGAACTCACTCCCTGACTCTGTTGTTATATCCTCAAACCACCCCCCCCAAAAAAGGTTAAAACTGTCTACTGTGGACCTCACCCCATTCCTAAGAGGTCTGTCAGGGGGCGTGCAGAAGCACACCAGCGTGCCTATCGTCCCCTGTTCTACTGTTCCCATTTATTCATACTCATTTATTATACCTGTTTATACTTATGTTATGTTCTTACTTGTTTTCCCATACATGCTTGACAAACCAAACTGACTAAATAAATAAAAATAAGTTGTGGGTGCTCCATCACTAAAGGTTTTTAAGAAGAGATTGGACAGCCATCTATGAGCCTCGGAGGCGCGGTGGGTAGAGTGCTGTACTGCAGGCCACTTCTGCTGACTATCGGCTGTTCGAATCCCACCAGGCTCAAGGTTGGTTCAGCCTTCCCTCCTGCTGAGGTGGGTCAAGTGAGGACCCAGATTGTTGGGGGCCACAGGCTGACTCTGTAAAGTTCACGGTGAGGACTGTAAAGCACTATAAAGCGGTATATAAGTCTAAGTGCTATTGCTCTCTGTGATGGTATAGGGTTGGACTAGAAGACCTCCGAGGTCCCCCTTCAGCCCTAACAGTTCTATCTTTTAAAAGAACCATTCTCCAACTTAAATTTTTCTGCAGGAGCAGAGTGTCCACAGGCTTGAGTTTCAGGGTGCCGAGAGGCAGCTCAGCGGGCTGCCTGGCCCCCCCAATAAAAGCCATTCAGATCCTCTCCATCAAGATATAAAGAACCCCATCGAGGTGATTGGACATTCTCAGCCCATTGAAACGAGGCGGGTTGTTTCCTTCCTGCTCTCTTCAAGAAGCCCCAGATCAGCATGACTGTGCAAAGGAAGCACAGACTCGTGGCGTCATTGGCTGGCCGGAGCCACAACCCAGGGAACACCCACAAGGAGGATTTACAAGGAAACTAGATACCGGATCTCCGACGACAGCGGCAGCAACCTCACCATGACGAAGTAGCTGGGGAAAGAAGAGGGAGAGGGGTGGGTGGGATTTCTCTCCCGACCCTCCAGGGATGAAAAATGACCGATCTGGCATTCAACGAAGCAGATTTATTATTTGCCCTGGGCTGGGGATATCGTTAACAAAAGCTTGTCCCTTCGAATTTTGTTCTTCTTGAGGAAGGAGGGGAAGCTAATGCATTTTGAAGAAGAGAAAATATAAATTCTGCACGCTTGGAAAAAAAAATGCCTGTTTTAAGTTCTGCTGCATACTGAGAGTCAATTTAGTTCTAGGGGTTGAGGTGCCAAGTTAGAAA